GTGTGTGCACATGTATGCTGGGGTGTGTGTGGGCATGTGTGTGCATGGGCATGTGTGTGCTGGGGTGTGCATGTGTGTGTGTGCTGGGGTGTGTGTGTGCATGTGTGTGTGCTGGGGTGTGTGTGCATGTATGTGTGTCCTCGCATGTGTGTGTGCACATGTGTGCTGGGGTGTGCGTGTGCGCATGTGTGTGCTGACATGTGCGTGTGCATGTATGTGTGTGTTGGGGTGTGTGTGCATGCATGTGTGTGCTGGGGTGTGTGTGCATGTGTTTGCGTGCTGGGGTGTGCATGTGTGCATGTGTGTGCTGGGTTGTGTGTGTGCATGTGTATGTGTGTACTGGGCTGTGCGTGTGCATGCATGTGTGTGCTGGGGTGTGTGTGCATGCATGTGTGTGCTGGGGTGTGCGACATGTGAGTGCTGGGTTTCATGTACGCATATGTATGTGTGTGCTGGGTTACGTGCATGCATGTGCATCTGTGCACTAGTGTGTGTGTCCATGTGCATGTGTGCACTGGGGTGTACGTCTGCATGTCTGTGACGGGATGTGTATGTATTTGTCTGTGTGCTCTGGGATGTCTGCATGCATGCGTGTGTGTGCTTGGGGAGAGCGTGCATGTCTCTGCTGTTTTTCATGCGTGCGTGTGCATGTGAGGGCTGGCATGTGCGTGTTTATGTGCATGTGTGCACTGGGGTGTGTTTGCTGCAAGTGTGTGCTGGGCTGTGCTCGTGCATACTGGGGTATGAATATGCATGTGTACGCGTGTGCTAGGTTGCACATGTGTACATGTGTGTGTTGTGGCATGTGCTTTCATGTGCATGTGTATGCTGGGGTGCACATGTGCACACATGCATGCCAGTGCACACATGGACGTGCATATGGATGTGTGCACCAAGGTGTACATATGTGCATGCCTGTGTGCACTGGGGAGGGGGGGGTGCGTGGGATGTGAGCAGGCACGTTTATATGTGCATAGAGGTGTGCATTGGCATGCATGTGTGCACATGCATGTGTGCATGGAGAGGGGCCATGCACCTGTGTGTGCTGGAGTGTGCCTGTGCACATGTAAGAGCATGCATAGTGTGTGCACACTGGGGTGTGGGGCTACGTCTGAACTGGTGTTGGTGCATATGCATTGGTGTGGGGGGGTGTGCATGGGCACAGACGTGTGCACGGG